TCAAATTAGACATAGCTAGTTCTTTCCGATACATTCCAATTGTGCTTCTTAGACATCAATGAGTACTTCAACATCATAAAACATTGGAAGATTTATACTCTCATATATTTGCATTACAAAGGGATTATACTCTTTTGCGAGATGGAATCGGCTATTGCGAGTAAGGAATTAGTAATAGCTTTGATTCACAACAAATACTCAATAACATTAGCAATTTCCTTTCTTCATCAATTTTAACTCAAATCGCAGTTACTTAACTCTATCCTTCATTTATGCATTGAAATAACAATAAATTTGTACCAAAATTCAAACGCATGCTTGCATTATGGAGCTATAGTTAACACTGATTTAAAGATTGTCGATAGGAACCATATGAGCACGGCTTGATATTGTACAATCCAAAACTCATACTCAACACGATTTGATCTTGCACAATCTAAGACTCATGTTTTTCAGAAATCTTGCCTTCGAGCCAATCTTGATATGTTTTGAATTTAGGTGGAATTTGAGGATTCTCCACCAGTTTTTGTATTCTCTGTGCGAGAATCAGTCTGTCACCCCATTGGTTCCATAAAAAATAGGTATTGTCTTGTAATTGTTAACACAGTTTTGGATCAAGGTTGTGATTCAACCACAAATCAAAGACACCAGCAAGTCAGTGTGGTAACTGGTGCGAGATCTGCCATGGTGATACACAAGCAAGGTAGAGAAGACAAGAATTACGAGTTCTTGAATTCACCGATGAAATAACAGAAAGTCTGTTAAATGTAACTGAATTTGTTAGAGTAGCAGGAGTGAATTGAACTAGATGAATTGATACCATAATAGAATCAATGGAAGCCCAACTTTCTAGAACATTTTATTCATTGACCAAATATTTACAAGTGAGCTAGTGCAATATTGTAGTCATGGATATTGAAAAAGTTACATATCAATTAAACAAATGTTCCAAGCAATGTTTTTATCATATTCATTGTGTTCTCTCAATTGTTGTTACCCCTTCATGGTGATATATACATTACATTGACAATATCATTTTACTTAAACAGAAACTATGCTAAGGGGGGCCAAGCCATGATGTTATGCAAAACTAATTTCACTCACATGCTCCTTACTTATCAGTACTTAAATGAGTAAAGAGTATTTCAGCTTCACTATTAGGTCATTTTCAGTTGTGGCATTGCCTCAAATATAAGGCCCTAACACCCCTAATAAGTTTAATGAAACAAGAAGCAACTGAACTTTAAGCTTATGAGCAACTGCACAATGAATGTAGTTTCTAGAATCAAGAGGTAGATAAATATAAGAGAATATGATACAAATTTTTTAACATGACATGAAAAAAACCTTAGGCTAGTAACTGCAATAGCATAACAATAGTTGGAAATTCAATAAAACTGGTCTCATTCAACTTCTACAACTTCTTCAACTTCATCCAAAGCATAGTTATTTGTCGATACATTGGCGTAGTTCACTTTGTTGAACCGAACCACGACAGGGTAGCGAGTGTTGGGGTCCTACACAACAAAGACAAATCAATCAAACAATATCTAACTTACCAATGGTTTAGATGAGAAAATTGAAATGATTTAGTTGAAACTGTGTTTGAGGTCACTAACTTGATCAACAGTAACAACAGAACCAGTTCCTTTGTACCAGTAGGATTCTGGCCTAAGAATCTTCACCTGTTGTATGCAATGAAAAACCATAAGCTAAACTTGTTGCTATAGTATTTCTAAATATTTCAACTCTATACACCTATCTAGATATGAAAACCAATTTAGTTTGTATATTACTCACCTTAGCACCCCTCTTGGGGCCAACTGGTGGTGGCTTGGGCTTAGTAGTAGTATCACCGCCGGGAGAATCGGTGGTAGCGGGGGCAGCTTCGGCAGTATCGTCTGATGCCCTGACAACAAGTCTAGAGCAAGCAATATTGTTGGATTTTATAGGAAACATCAACATGTTAGTCCTGGAAGAAAGTGAGGAGGTTGTGTTGTTGGCAGAAACATTAAGGGACAAGACAAATCCACAAGCTGCGGATGCCATGCTGCTGCTAGCCATGGAGGAGTCTCTGTTTGTGTGTGTTTCTCTCTTTGGTAATGTTAAAAGTTGGAAAAAGGAGAATTGGAGATTGAGATGAGTGAAGTGTGTTAGTTTGGTGGTTTATTTTGGAGGAGAATTATCTCATCCGCAGAAACTTTAGTGTCGATCGTTTCATCCACTAGGGTGATGACACTTGAGCACCATATCTTATTTCTTTAGATAATGTTGTCACAACTCACAACTCATTCGTTTTATTATGGGAAATCAAATGGGTGGCTAGTCTTCAGCATAGTAACTAACACGCTAGTGTTTCCTAAATTAATAACACGTCCTAATTTTAAATGAGTTTAAATAAATAAGAAAATTGACCTTCTAAAATTTTAGATCATATATATATATATATATATATATATATATATATATATATATATATATATATATATATATATATATATATATATATATATATATATATATATATATATATATATATATATATATATATATATATATATATATATATATATATATATATATATATATATATATATATATATATATATATATATATATATATATATATATATATATATATATATATATATATATATATATATATATATATATATATATATATATATATATATATATATATATATATATATATATATATATATATATATATATATATATATAAATATATATATATATATATATATATATATATATATATATATATATATATATATATATATATATATATATATATATATATATATTATATATATATATATATATATATATATATATATATATATATATATATATATATATATATATATATATATATATATATATATATATATATATATATATATATATATATATATATATATATATATATATATATATATATATATATATATATATATATATATATATATATATATATATATATATATATATATATATATATATATATATATATATATATATATATATATATATATATATATATATATATATATATATATATATATATATATATATATATATATAATATATATATATATATATATATATATATATATATATATATATATATATATATATATATATATATATATATATATATATATATATATATATATATATATATATATATATATATATATATATATATATATATATATATATATATATATATATATATATATAATATATATATATATATATATATATATATATATATATATATATATATATATATATATATATATATATATATATATATATATATAATATATATATATATATATATATATATATATATATATATATATATATATATATATATATATATATATATAGCATATCAAATGAGAGTGATTTTAAATGACATATGAGAGTAACAAACAACAACCATTAAATCAAATTAATAAGAGAGATGAAAATCAAGTTAATAAGAGAGAAATTAATATATATATACCAAAATGTGTTTTTAGCGGAAGATTTTTAGTAAAGAAAAAAGGAGTATAGAAGATTGTGAGACAATATTGCAAGAAAGTTCAAACTTGTTATTCAAAGGTGTTCTAAGGTGTAATTACAAATGAAACTTAAATCCCTTTATATAGGGAAGAAAATGCTTACTATTTAAGCCGGTAACTAAAACTTACAATAGCCGGTAACTTGTATAATTATTGTCGGGTACACTTGGGGCCCCATCGTCACAACAATTAACAAGAAACTACAAAAATCAAATGCATGCCTAAAAATTATTAAAGATAAGATAAGATTCTTTTTCCCTTGTCTTTTACAAAAGATAGAAAATGCATGTAATTATGCCGAGAAATTATTAAAGACAAGATAAGATAAGATTCTTATTCCCTTGTCTTCTACAAAAGATAGAAAATGCATGCAATTATGCCTAGAAATTATTAAAGACAAGATAAAATTCCCTTGTCCTTTTGCTTTTGGAAAGGTTCTTCTTCTATTATTTCTTGTCCTTTAACCTTTGTCTATTGATTCTTACTTCATTATATTTAGACAAGATAACAAATTAATTCTTTTCTTTTCTTTTTTCTTTCAAAGATTGAAACATTGCATCCCAGAAATCTTCTGCAGGAGCTTTATCTGCTTGACCTTCTCCTGCTAAACCTTCAAAATTATGGGAATCCATTGATCCCATGGAAGAGCTTGTCTTCATAGATGAATCCTCATCTTTTGATGCTTTTGATGGAAAAGTAGAGAAGAATTGGTTCTTCATATGATCCAAAATTCTGACCATAATTTCATCTTCTGATTCATTGGGATATTTTCTCTTGAAGAAGTTCTTCAAGTTTTCCATAGACATTTGTTGGGAGCTTTGTTCCTTGACCTTTTTATTGTGGTCTTCATCTATTGCTTCTTCAATCAATTTAATTTTATTCTGGACATCCTCTGAACTCATCTTGTTCCACCATTTATAAAAGAAATTTCTTTCTAAAATGGCAATGTTAAATTTGTTTCTTGATATGGTGATTGTCCATCTCCATATCCATAGAATCTGAAATTTAATAAATAACAATAATGGACATTGTCTAGTGATTAAATTATCAGATAAAATATTTACAATAAGTGGACTATTTTCACACCATGAATTATATAAGTTAAGAATTTCTTTAGGAAGAATTTCCAAAGATGGACCAAATTTAGCCCACCATTCATAAAACCATTTTGGTATGGGTTTATTAACCATCTCTTCATCAATAGAGAAAAACCAAGCATGCTTGTTCTTGGGATTTTGGTAATAAAAGGCTTGAGTGAAAGCCTGAACATAGTCCCAATAATTAAAGTAAATATACTTTCCTTCTGCAATTCTTATTGCCTTTTCAGCATTTGGGTTGAGACCCCATTATCTTGGTAACAAAATTTTGTTAATGTGACATTTACTGAAGTTTATAAAACTTTCAGGATTATTGTTTTGGTAATGGTGAGTAATTGTTACCGGTAACAGTCAGGAGAATTTCTAGGTTGGGCCTAGATTTTCCATGAAGACCTGGATATCCTCTTGATTCGAGGTATCTAATTTTGATAGACCATCCATCATTTAGATTTATCTTTATATCTTCATCATCAATATACATGATTTTCTCAGTTACTGGATTTTCAAAATAATCCATTTGTTCTTGAGGTGGGTTATTAACCGCAACTTCCTTGTAGGATGTAGTTTTATTAGAGGAAGAGGAAGCAATATCTTTCCTTTTTGCTGAAGATGCAGGTAATTGCTGCATTTTTCTACCTTTGTAGATAGTAGTCCAATCCCCTATTAGAGGAATGTTTGATTCTGGCTGGGGTAACATATTGTTACTCCCTCTCCCACCACGGCCATAACCGCGGCCTCTACCCCTATATGGGGTCATCATTTTTCCCTGCAAAAATTCACGAGTTAAATAATCAGCAAGTGAATTATTTTCACCTTGAATGTGTTGTGTTCCTAATATAATTCTATGAGTTAAGTTTTTCACAAGAATAAAGTGAGTGGGTAAACAAATATCTTTGTTACAAATATAAGCATTAGACAGTTTATAATTAACCGTGAGTTTATCTCCTCCAGCTTGTGTAAGAGATTGAGTAGTTTTATCAAAATACTTAGTGGGAATAATTCCCTCTTGAAGGCAGTTTAAATCAGCGCCACTATCAATAAGGGCAACTTCATTTTCTAATATGAAATTTCTATTAATCACTAAAGTTATTCTAACAAACCATTTTTGGGAGGTCACTCTATCAATGAGGGAAAGGAAATCATCACTAGGTGAAGGATTACTAGTTGAAGCTATTTCTTCAACCCTTGAATTATTGGACTATAAAAAAGTGAGCCTTTGAGATAAACCATAGCTTTCTTTTTTAATTTGAGCTATCTCATTTTTTAAGAGATTTATTTCTCTATTTAAATTCATAATAGAAATAGGAGTTTCACGAATGTTAGACTGTCTAAATCTAGACAAAACCTCACTTAATTGGTAAGGCGCTTCTGTAATAATAAGAGATTCTCTTTTAGAGTTTTCTTGGATTAGAACCTCAAGCATTTTTCTTTTAAGATTTTTATCAGAAATGGACTCTATAGCCTTTATAGCTCCATCTTGTTCTGAGGTTAAAACATTTAACCCATTCATATCCACTATTGATTTCCAGTAATCTAATTGATTACATTGACAATTATTATTGTTAGAAGATTCAGATGAGTAATCAGAAGAAGATTCATAAATTATATTAATATCTTCTTTAGAAGAGTATTCAGAATCGGATTTGAGAAGCAAAACTTTCTCTAATTGAGAACGTAATTGTTCATCTTCTATCACATTAAGAGCTTTTTTAGTCCAACATTGGTTGGCATAATGGCCAGGTTTGCCACATTTATGACATGTTATGTCAAGCTTTTTGGCTTTTCTTTTACCTTTAGGGTCAAAAGATTTTTCTTTAGGTCTAGTCTTATTGTAGTGACCCCTTTTCTTATTCTTATAAGAATTTTTATAAGAATTTTTTGGCTTATCCCTAAAAGGTTTATTGCGGAAAATTTTTCCTTTTTTCTTTTTATTATCTGGAGATTTTCCAAGATCGAAAGCAAATTGCTCACAAAATTCACCAATTTGGTGTTTTTCAGAGAGCATTTGCTTTTTGAGTTGATTTCTAAGCTTTATGTCATTACATAAAGTTAATCCTTCATTAACACAAGTGCTAATTATATGACCATAAGTAAGATCTGAATAATTTATATTTATCCCATCATTTTTCTGTCTTAAGGATTGTCTAACTTTCTCAGAAAAGAAATGAGGTAATCCATCAATAAATTTTGCTTTCCAGTGCAAAGAATTGGGATTGTTTAATTGATAAACTCTTGAAAGAAAAGTATCCTTATACCATCTAAAGTGGGTGAGAGAAGGACACCTAAGGTTTTGGAGAAGTGTATGGATTTTTTCTCCAATGGGGACATTGGTTCCTACAAAATGTTGTAAGATGGAGAGACACAGCGTATACACTGCATCTTCTTCTCCTGTGGTGGTTGTAGCCACAATAGTGCTCGTACTAGTTCTTGGTTCGCTCTTAACGATTTTTTATGATTAAGAATCTCTAATTTTTGAGATTCAGTGAGATAATGATCCCATCAGCCTCTAAGTTGGCCAACAAATTCTGTTGTTATAAAAGATGCTATTGAAACATCATAATTTCCATGTTGCTTGCAAACAGTAGAGTACATGATCATCCTATGGATAGTATCTATAATTTGTTTGTCATTAAGACCATCAACATTCCGTTCATAAATGGCTTTTCTGGAATAAGAATTCTGGAAAGGTTCTGATTCCTCAAAAAGAAAATCTTGCGGTGAGGGTCGCTTGTAATAATACTTTTCTATAGGCCTTGGGGAATAAACAGGATTTATATTATTAGTATTATTAATACTATTAGTATTAATATCAAGGTTACTAATGTCTAAATTAGCAAATATATCAGCAAGCTGGTCAATATGGTTGTCATTATTATCCTCAGAATAATCTTCACGGGACATGACAGTGATATTAAGTCCTTTTAGTTTTTGTTCTAAAATACGAACAAATTCTTCTCCGTTAGTTTCCATTTTAAATCCTTCTATGGAAACAGGAGGTTGCACTATAGGAACATCCGAAATAATGGATGTGGATATTTGGTCTTTAGGTTTATTTATGTAGTCAATAATGATATCTTGACGCTCTATTTGTTTTTCTAAAAGATCTTTTATGGATAAGAGATCTTTTTCCATGGAGATAAATTGTTCTCTTAAGCAAACAAGGTAAGCATTGGTATAATTTTGAGACCTGATAACTGAATTTAATTCCTTAAGAGTAACTTGATTTTGTTAGACTCTTTGTAACTGAAGGCTAAGGTAAGGGGCAGCTTCAGTATTTTGACTCAAACTTATTGTTTGTTCAGGGGGAAAAGGAGATTCCATTATTTCTCCTCTAATGTTTTCCCAAGGTCTTTGTAACACAAGAATTTCTTCTTGCTTTTTATTTATGAAGTAATTAACAAACCATTTAACAAAAGGAACGAAATCCTGCTCAAGGTTCATTTGAGTGTAATACTCATCTTTAAATTGGGCTAATTCAGGTTTTGAAAATTTTTTAAAAAACCAATTTCTAAATTGAGAGTATCTCTCATGTTGAAACTCATCATTGATGAGTTGTCTCATCTTACTACCAGGGGAGTAATCTATCATTATAGTTGAAAATCCATATCTGACTGAGCAGGTGATTCTACTCTTGGAGTATGAGGTTTTTGATAAATTCCACGGGGAATTCTATTTTCGCCTAGTCTTATATTTTCAACGGCCTCTATTTCTTCTCTTATTTGAGAAGTAGAAGGTCTAGGTAATTGTCTAGGAGCTGTGTAAAATTCACTAACCGAGTGCCTAGCAGATAGAGATCTGGGTATTCTAGTTATTCTTTTTGAAGTGAAGTTTATTTCCAAATCTCCTTGGGTAGTCTGAATAATTTGGTCTATATCCCTATTAAGGATAGGTTCAGGATCTATTTCCTGGGGGAGAGACCATGTCTCTGGGAAGTTTATTTCATCCCAATTTATTAACCTATTGGTTGCAACATTAGACGTTAATAAATTTGTTTGAACCAAAGTAGTGGTTCCAGGAAATGATAAATGCTTTGCTTTAGGATTAAGCGTAGTAAGAACCTTATAGTAGATTCTATAGCATATTGCTATAATTTCACTTCCCGGTTTAAAATTATAACCATTAGTATGAATTGTTAATTGCATAGCATCCAATAAATTTTTATCAGATAAAGATAGATTTAAATTAGGTGAGACATCAAAGTAAACGGGTCCATGACACAGACTTGTCTCAACCATAGCAGCTAAAGATTGTTTGAAATCTTTACATCTACCATCTCTAACATAAGCCATTATGCTAGAATTTAAACCCAATAATGTTAAAGGTTTTAAAGCAATTTGAACCAATCCAATATGGATAAAATTATAAGTTTTAAAAGGTTTCAAATCTTTTTTAGTTAACAGTTTTATTGTTTGAGTTTCTTTAGAAATTTGAATCGTTTGCTCTAAAGTTTTAACAGCAAAACGAGAAAAAACATCTATCTTACCAAATCTATAAATTTGATTAGAAGGAACTGAGGGTATAACCCATCTGTTGAGTTTATCCATATTTTTTGGATATTCAATTAATTCTTCATTTTTTATTAAATTATTTTGAGGATTATCATCATCAGAATCCATAGGGCAATAGGCTAAGAATGTTGTGATTGGTTGTTACACAAAGTTAAATCTAAATAGATAACTTGGACTCATAACATAATTTTAGCTAAAACAACAACCAATTAAAAATCATCTAAGCAAACAACAAATTGTTTAACTATTAACCCGAAGGGATAGAAGGATTTCTCCCAAATCAAAGATATCAAAATGTTTTTAGCAAAAATTTTCTTTTTTGAAATCATCAACAACTCCCTTCCCCGGGAAAAAAAAAGATGAATGTTTAAGAAAACACTAAAAACACTTTTTAGTTTTAAAAACACTTTGAAAAGGTTGTTTGCTAGTTAATAATATGTTATGAGAAAAAGTTACCTACTTTGTTTTGTCTTAGCATAATCAACCTCTCACAACATAAATTTAGCCACTAATTTTCATGATAAATTAAGAAATATACCTTAGATTTGGCAAGTCCAGGTGATGATACCAAAATGTGTATTTAGCGGAAGCAGGATCGGATTTTTAGTAAAGAAAAGAGGAGTATAGAAGATTGTGAGATAATATTGCAAGAAAGTTCAAACCTTTTATTCAAAGGTGTTCCAAGGTGTGTTTGCAAATGAAACTTAAATCCCTTTATATAGGGAAGAAAAGGCTTACTATTTAAGACGGTAACTAAAACTTACAATAGCCGGTAACTTGTATAATTGTTGTCGGGTACACTTGGGGCCCCATCGTCACAACAATTAACAAGAAACTACAAAAATCAAATGCATGCCTAGAAATTATTAAAGACAAGATAAGATTCTTTTTCACTTGTCTTTTACAAAAGATAGAAAATGCATGTAATTATGCCTAGAAATTATTAAAGACAAGATAAGATAAGATTCTTATTCCCTTGTCTTTTACAAAAGATAGAAAATGCATGCAATTATGGCTAGAAATTATTAAAGACAAGATAAGATTCCCTTGTCCTTTTTCTTTTGGAAAGATTCTTCTTCTATTATTTCTTGTCCTTTAACCTTTGTCTATTGATTCTTACTTCATTATATTTAGACAAGATAACAAATTAATTCTTTGCTTTTCTTTTTTCTTTCAAAGATTGAATCATTGCATCCCAGAAATCTTCTGCAGTAGCTTCATCTGCTTGACCTTCTCCTGCTAAACCTTCAAAATTATGGGAATCCATTGATCCCATGGAAGAGCTTGTCTTCATAGATGAATCCTCATCTTTTGATGCTTTTGATGGAAAAGTAGAGAAGAATTGGTTCTTCATATGATCCAAAATTCTGACCATAATTTCATCTTCTGATTCATTGGGATATTTTCTCTTGAAGAAGTTCTTCAAGTTTTCCATAGACATTTGTTGGGAGCTTTGTTCCTTGACCTTTTTATTCTGGTCTTCAGCTATTGCTTCTTCAATTAATTTAATTTTATTCTGGACATCCTCTGCACTCATCTTGTTCCACCATTTATAAAAGAAATTTCTTTCTAAAATGGGAATGTTAAATTTGTTTCATGATATGGTGATTGTCCATCTCCATATCCATGGAACCTGGAATTTAATAAAGAACAATAATGGACATTGTCCAGTGATTAAATTATCAGATAAAATTTTTACAATAAGTGGACTATTATCACACCATGAATTATATAAGTTAAGAATTTCTTTAGGAAGAATTTCCAAAGATGGACCAAATTTAGCCCACCATTCATAAAACCAATTTGGTATGGGTTTATTAACCATCTCTTCATTAATAGAGAAAAACCAAGAATGCTTGTTCTTGGGATTTTGGTAATAAAAGGCTTGAGTGAAAGCCTGGACATAGTCCCAATAATTAAAGTAAATATACTTTCCTTCCGCAATTCTTATTGTCTTTTCAGCATTTGGGTTGAGACCCCATTCTCTTGGTAACAAAATTTTATTAATGTGACATTTACTGAAGTTTATAAAACTTTCAGGATTATTGTTTTGGTAATGGTGAGTAATTGTTACCGATTCGGTAACAGTCAGGAGAATTTCTAGGTTGGGCCTAGATTTTCCATGAAGACCTGGATATCCTCTTGATTCGAGGTATCTAATTTTGATAGACCATCCATCATTTGGATTTATCTTTATATCTTCATCATCAATATACATGATTTTCTCAGTTACTGGATTTTCAAAATAATCCATTTGTTCTTGAGGTGGGTTATTAACCGCAACTTCCTTGTAGGATGTAGTTTTATTAGAGGAAGAGGAAGCAATATCTTCCCTTTTTGCTGAAGATGCAGGTAATTGCTGCATTTTTCTACCTTTGTAGACAGTAGTCCAATCCCCTATTAGAGGAATGTTTGATTCTGGTTGGGGTAACATATTGTTACTCCCTCTCCCACCACGGCCATAACCGCGGCCTCTACCCCTATATGGGGTCATCATTTTTTCTCTGCAAAAATTCACGAGTTAAATAATCAGCAAGTGAATTATTTTCACCTTGAATGTGTTGAATATCAAATTCAAACATAGATAATTGCGATTGCCAACTAGCAAAAATTTGCTTAGCAACAAGATTTTTAACATCTTTTTCAATAATTGATTTAGCTGAGCTACAATCAATTTTTAATAAAATTTTTTTGTTAAGAAGATCATCTTGAAATTTTGAAATGCATTTTATAATAGAAATCATCTATTTCTTGATAGTTGAATATTTTGCTTGTGTTGGATTCCATTTTCCAGAAGTAAATCTAACCAAAACTTCTTTTGAGGTTTCAGGTATTATTTATTTAAGGATTCCTCCATAGCCTAAGTCTGAAGCATCAGTTTCAACAATTTTGAAATACTTAGGATTAGCAAGAGATAAACAAGGCAAACATTTCACCTTATTTTTGATTCTTTGGACTGCTTGAGAATGTTTTTTTGTCCAAGGGTCAGGATTCTTTTTAAGCCTAGCATGTAATATTGCCGTATCTTTAGCTAGATTTTCATAATAATCTGCTATGTAATTAAGGCTACCAAGAAACCTTTGTAATTGTTTCTTATCTGTAATAATATTAGGGAATTTAGAAGCAAAGTCAATACTTCTTTGTATAGGAATTATAGTTCCTTGGTCAATTTCATGTCCTAAAAATCTAACCTTTGTTTGAAAAAGTTTCATCTTAGGACCAGATATTACTAATCCATTATGCTTAATTAATCCTTTGAATATTTTCAAATGTTTCATATGTTGATCTATCGTTTTTGAAAAAACTAAAACATCATCAATATAAACAATTATAAATTTCGTATAAGGATTAAAAATATCATTCATAATATTTTAAAATTCAGAAGGGGCATTTTTAAGGCCAAAAGGAAGGACATTCCATTCATAATGTCCAAAAGGGTAAAGGCTGTTTTATACTTATCAGATTCATTAATCTGAATTTGCCAATAACCAGATTTCATATCAAATTTAGAGAAGATTAAAGCATTGTTTAATCTATCTAAAAGATCTTTTTTATTAGGAATAGGATATCTAATCCATTTTAACACTTTATTAAGTGGTTTGTAATTAATAACGAGTCTAGGAACTCCACGTTCCTTTTCTGCAGCATTATTGACATAAAAGGCTGTGCAACTCCAAGGAGATTTGGATTTTCTTATTAATTTTTTCTCTAAAAGAGATTCTATCTCTTTTTTGCATAAATCCAAATACTCATGATTCATTTGAGCAGTCCTAGCTTTAGTAGGAATCTGACTTTCATTAAAGTCATTAAGATAAGGTAAAGAAATAACATGTTTCTTCCTATCCCAAAAGGCATTAGGTAAATCATTGCATATTTCTTCTCTTAACTGTTGATCAATTAATTTAATTTGATTTTGAACCTCAGGGTTTTTTAGTTGAGAAGTGATGTTTAATAAACCCACTTCTTCTTTAAGAAAACAAATTTGTTTTTCTTTTTTAAGAAGAATATCTTTAACTTCATTAATCATCCTAGTATGAGGATCAGTAATGAATTCAAAAATAATTCTTTTATTATTAATAATGGAGGTAATTCCCTTTTGATCAACATTAATTAGAGGCATAATTTTATGCAGAAAGGGAGTTCATAATATAATTCTATGAGTTAAGTTTTTCACAAGAATAAAGTGAGTGGGTAAACAAATATCTTTGTTACAAACATAAGCATTAGACAGTTTATAATTAGCCGTGAGTTTATCTCCTCTAGCTTGTGTAAGAGATTGAGTAGTTTTATCAAAATACTTAGTGAGAATAATTCCCTCTTGAAGGCAGTTTAAATCAGCGCCACTATCAATAAGGGCAACTTCACAATAGTGGGATCAACATTAATTAGAGGCATAATTTTATGCAGAAAGGGAGTTCCTAATATAATTCTATGAGTTAAGTTTTTCACAAGAATAAAGTGAGTGGGTAAACAAATATCTTTGTTACAAATATAAGCATTAGACAGTTTATAATTAGCCGTGAGTTTTTCTCCTCTAGCTTGTGTAAGAGATTGAGTAGTTTTATCAAAATACTTAGTGGGAATAATTCCCTCTTGAAGGCAGTTTAAATCAGCGCCACTATCAATAAGGGCAACTTCATTTTCTAATATGAAATTTCTATTAATCACTAAAGTTATTCTAACAAACCATTTTTGGGAGGTCACTCTATCAATGAGGGAAAGGAAATCATCACTAGGTGACGGATTACTAGTTGAAGCTATTTCTTCAACCCTTGAATTATTGGACTCTAAAAAAGTGAGCCTTTGAGATAAACCATAGTTTTCTTTTTTAATTTGAGCTATCTCATTTTTTAAGAGATTTATTTCTCTATTTAAATCCATAATAGAAACAGGAGTTTCACGAATGTTAGACTGTCTAAATCTAGACAAAACCTCACTTAATTAGTAAGGTGCTTCTGTAATAATAGGAGATTCTCTTTTAGAGTTTTCTTGGATTAGAACCTCAAGCATTTTTCTTTTAAGATTTTTATCAGAAATGGACTCTATAGCCTTTATAGCTCCATCATGTTCTGAGGTTAAAACATTTAACCCATTCATATCCACTATTGATTTCTAGTAATCTAATTGATTACATTGACAAATATTGTTGTTAGAAGATTCAGATGAGTAATCAGAAGAAGATTCATAAATCATATTAATATCTTCTTCAGAATTAGATTTGAGAAGTAAAACTTTCTCTAATTGAGAACGTAATTGTTCATCTTCTATCTCATTAAGAGCTTTTTTAGTCCAACATTGGTTGGCATAATGGCTAGGTTTGCCACATTTATGACATGTTATGTCAAGCCTTTTGGCTTTTCTTTTACCTTTAGGGTCAAAAGATTTTTCTTTAGGTCTACCTCTATTGTAGTGACCCCTTTTCTTATTCTTATAAAAATTTTTATAAGAATTTTTTGGCTTATCCCTATAAGGTTTATTGCGGAAAATTTTTCTTTTTTTCTTTTTATTATCTGGAGAATTTCCAAGATCAAAAGCAAATTGGTCACAAAATTCATCAATTTGGTGTTTTTCAGAGAGCTTTTGCTTTTTGAGTTGATTTCTAAGCTTTATGTCATTACAAAAAGTTAATCCTTCATTAACACAAGTTCTAATTATTTGACCATAAGTAAGATCTGAATAATTTATATTTATCCCATCATTTTTTTGTCTTAAGGATTGTCTAACTTTCTCAGAAAAGAAATGAGGTAATCCATCAATAAATTTTGATTTCCAGTGCAAAGAATTGAGATTGTTTAATTGATAAACTCTTGAAAGAAAAGTATCCTTATACCATCTAAAGTGGGTGAGAGAAGGACACCTAAGGTTTTGGAGAAGTGTCTGGATTTTTTCTCCAATGGGGACATTGGTTCCTACAAAAACTGTGTGTACACTGCATCTTCTTCTCCTGTGGTGGTTATAGCCACAATAGTGCTCATACTAGTTCTTGGTTCGCTCTTAACGATTTTTTTATGATTAAGAATCTCTAATTTTTTAGATTCAGTGAGATAATGATCCCACCAGCCTCTAAGTTGGCCAACAAATCCTGTTGTTATAAAGGATACTATTGAAGCATCAGAATTTCCATGTTGCTTGCAAACAGTAGAGTACATGATCATCCTATGGATAGTATCTATAATTTGTTTGTCATTAAGACCATCAACATTCCATTCATAAATGGATTTTCCTGAATAAGAATTATGGAAAGGTTCTGATTCCTCAAAAAGAAAATCTTGCGGTGAGGGACACTTGTAATAATACTTTTCTATAGGCCTTGGGGAATAAACGGGATATTTACTATTAGTATTATTAATACTATTAGTATTAATATCAAGGTTACTAATGTCTAAATTAGCAAACATATCAGCAAGCTGGTCAATATGGTTGTCATTATTATCCTCAGAATAATCTTCATGGGACATGACAATGATATTAAGTCCTTTTAGTTTTTGTTCTAAAATACGAACAAATTCTTCTCCGTTAGTTTCCATTTTAAATCCTTCTATGGAAACAGGAGGTTGCACTATAGGAACATCCGAAATAGTGGATGTGGATATATGGTCTTTAGGTTTATTTATGTGGTCAATAATGATATCTTAACGCTCTATTTGTTTTTCTAAAAGATCTTTTATGGATAAGAGATCTTTTTCCATGGAGATAAATTATTCTCCTAAGCAAACAAGGTAAGCATTGGTATAATTTTGAGACCGGATAACTGAATTTAATTCCTTAAGAGTAACTTGATTTTGTTCAACTCTTTGTAACTGAAGGCTAAGGTAAGGGGCAGCTTCAGTATTTTGACTCAAACTTATTGTTTGTTCAGGGGGAAAAGGAGATTCCATTATTTCTCCTCTAATGTTTTCCCAAGATCTTTGTAACACAAGAATTTCTTCTTGCTTTTTATTTATGAAGTAATTAACAAACCATTTAACAAAAGGAACGAAATCCTGCTCAAGGTTCATTTGAGTGTAATACTCATCTTTAAATTGGGCTAATTCAGGTTTTGAAATTTTTTTAAAAAACCAATTTCTAAATTGAGAGTATCTCTCATGTTGAAACTCATCATTGATGAGTTGACTCATCTTACTACCAGGGGAGTAATCTATCATTATAGTTGAAAATCCATATCTGACTGAGTAGGTGATTCTACTCTTGGAGTATGAGGTTTTTGATAAATTCCATGGGGAATTCTATTTTCGCTTAGTCTTATATTTTCAACGGCCTCTATTTCTTCTCTTATTTGAGAAGTAGAAGGTCTAGGTAATTGTCTAGGAGCTGTGTAAAATTCACTAACCGAGTGCCTAGCAGATAGAGATCTGGGTATTCTAGTTATTCTTTTTGAAGTGAAGTTTATTTCCAAATCTCCTTGGGTAGTCTGAATAATTTGGTCTATATCCCTATTAAGGATAGATTCAGGATCTATTTCCTGGGGGAGAGACCATGTCTCTGGGAAGTTTATTT